CTCATTCTTCCGAATCAAAAGCCAATCTGGCCCAATGTAAGCTACAGGTACCTCTCTGTAGGTGCAGTTTTGTGTTGTCGGTTCCTGCAGAGTCCTGTGGTCAGCTTGGTCATGTGCTCACCATTCCACAGCAAGTGCAGGATTCAGAACGGTCCCTCTGGAGGCTGCACCTCGAAACTGCTACAGGAACACATCAATGGTGTCTCGTCCTCTATATCCAGCTGTGCTGAAGCATCTGTTTCATTAATGGGTTGCCCATCAAACCTGAATTGGACCTGTCTCCTTGACAAACCCTGCCTCTCATAGCATTGGGCTTCAGCAGCATGCTCAGTGGGGTATGCCTCTTGATCTTGAAATGCACCACTGAGCCATCCTGCCCCGCCACCTTCAGGTTGATGTCATCACCCTTCCTTGGGCTTCTCCTTGGACATGGATGCACGGCAACAGTGGTGGCTGGCAATGGGCGGTGGAAGTGCAGCATAGAGCAGGCGTCTAGCTCTTGGCCCTGTGGTTCTCCTGCCACAACTCAGTATATTAACTTTAATTCACTCAAGAATAGAGAAGGTAAACCTAGATCAAGTGGAATTTCTAGTTTTAGCTTTGTGAGGGATCTCCACAGTGATTTCCATAGTGATGGTATAAGTTTACCTTTTCGCCAATAGTGTAAACAGGTTTTTTTTTTCACCCAAAATCCTAAGCAGCATTGTGTTTCTTTTTTTAATTCTGGGTATTAATCTTTGGTCAGAAGAAGAGCTGGCAAAGACTTTCTCCATTCTGAAGCTGTCTCTACATTCTGTTAGCTGTTTCCTTTGTGATGTAGAAACTTAATTTGATGTAGTCACATTTGTTCATTCTTGTTATTACAGCCTGAGCTACCGGTGTCCTACTCAGGAGGTCAGTATTTATGCCTATGCCTTAAGATGTTTCTTATGTTTTCTTCAATGATTTCAAAATTTCAAATCTTGCATCAAAGTTTTGAACTGAATTTTTGTAAAAGGTGAGATATATGGATCTAGTTTTAATCTTCTATATTAGGTACACACCATACATATTCTGTTTATTCACTGTTACTCATCAATGAACACCTAAGTCAGTTCCATATTTTAGCTACCACAATAACACAGCCATGAACGTGTCTGTACAAGCATCTCTTTATGTCTCTGCTTTCATTGTGTGGTATATATTTCCAGAATTGAAGCTGAATAGAGTAATTGTATTTTCAATATTTTTAGGAAATGTCATACCATTTTCCATAGCTGCATCATAAAAAGTTTTAATAATAAACGCAAATGCTTTCATGACACCATCAAGTCAAAGGAAGATAATGGTCTATCTTTAGCTAGGCAAAAAACATAATAATAAGAAAAAAGATGAAGTAATTAAAACTGTTAACCAATACAACGGTTTCCACTAGATTGTAGTGGAAGTACACTTTTGTCTTCTCTTTTTGCAATTTTGTACTTGATATTTTCTTTGATAAAGTACACACTATGCCCACAAGAAAAGATGAAAATGGTTTTGTAGCAGATGGCTATCACATCATCCGCTACACTTCATCTGGACAGTCCATTCAGCTCACTCTGTTTACTAACAGGGACACCCAGTACGCATGTAATGTCTGCACCTCCCTTTCCCTTCTGTAACCGAAGGAGATACTAGATAACCCAACAGATTTCTGAAACATTTTAAACCCAGTGTAACAGTAATTTTCTTCTCTTACTTGATAGAGCTTTCAAAGTCTTTTTTAGTCAGCCAGGGCCATGATCCAGCTGGGATAGCTGAACTGGAGCCTGCAAACACACACGGCCACCACTGGGAACCAGGTGAGTCCCGTTCCCAGTGCGCCCAGCCAACCACAGTGGGCTAGTGGCTACCTTTGTCCTCCCTGATTTCTAGTCCCTAGCCTGGCACAGTAGTTAGTAAACTGCCTTAGCACCATGACAGAGATGAACCGGAAGGAGCAGGGAGGGAGGAATAGAGGAAGAAGGGGAAGAAGGGACTGGAAGGCTTAAGGAGCAGACTTCTAGCCAGGCTTTGACTTCTTGGAATGCAAAATGGTCTGTAAGAACAGAGTCCAGTCCTCTGTTCAAGCAGTGCTGCCAGCTGGCCATTGATCACCCAAAGTTCCAACAACCCCATCTCATACAAATTCTTATTAATCTTACAAAGTCAAAATACAAATACATGACAAAAGTCTTTATGTGCCCTCAATTTCAGAGTCAAAATTTGAAAGCTGAATTAGTTACCTCATGGCTCCAATGAATTTTTTAAAGCCTTCTCTGGGAACAAAAGGAAAAATAAATGACACATCCACTAAAATTTTTTGTACTTATTGGACTGAAGGAACTTAGGCTAGTGATCAAATAAATTATATGAGCAAAAGGGCATTAGTGCTAAAATTTAAACCAACATTTTCTTTCTGTAATAACATTGACTTTTTATAGCGTACACTAAAAAGGTAAAGAAAATCCTTAGGGCGCTCAAAAGAACACGAATTTTTCTTTCATGTGTAAATTACTAGGAACATAAGGAGCCTCTTCAGTGGGAACGCCTTCATGGCAAAGGCATGGACATGGCAAAGATGGGTCTGCTGGGAGTGGGGACCACTAGGACCGCAGAGGGATCCCTGTGTGTGAAGTTAGCTAGTGCAAACACCTACTACGCAAGAGGCCACAGCCCAGGCAGGCATGTGGGGGGCGCCTGGCACCACTCTACACTCACTTGCCCTGTCAGTGGGATGGCTCACATGGAAGAACTGAAACAGAGCTCTGCAACGTATCGTGCTTCCACAGCACGGTTTCCTCCAAACCCATTCCAGGCTGAACACATCCTCATTAGTAGTTGCAAAAGTGTGTTGTGGAGCAAAAGGAAAGCTAGTGTTAGGAACCATCCACAGACCTCTCCCCAGGTGGAAAGCTCACACCTGGCTAACAGAGAGGTGGCTTTTCTGGACCCATGGCGAAGAAGGCACCTTCCATCTCCAGAGAGGGTAGACACCCAGTGAAGTGCAGTGATGCATGTTTTTATTTTGTAGGGCTGGAAAATTAAGGACAAAAATCAGAGAGGAGAGATGATATGATGGTGACAAAAAGGCTATTAGAGAACAAAAAGAGGGCCTACAGAAATAGACTACAAAGGCTTGGAGGCCTTCTCAGGCTAAAGCAACATCTGATTGCAGTTCTGTCAGCCCTCTTCAGGTACTATACAAGGTGAAGGTCCATCAGAGACTGGCCGGTCACTCCATCTTCACTATCCCACTCAACAAGCATGGATGGATTTAAGAAACCAGTAGGCAATGGTGTTCTATAAATGGTCAGAAACTCATTCCTTATAACCCTGTAAGAAGCATGTAGTCAGGATTTTGGGGCAGTCCTAGCTAGAGGCAGAGTTTCCATAGAAGATTTGGAAAGAACCCTGACTGCCCGATCCCTAGAAGTAATAGCTATGAGGCCCAGACTTATTAATTGTAAATGACTGAGAGTGTACGTGTGACCCCAAGTACCTGTTCTCCTGGGAAATGTGAAATGGACAGTCTAAAGAGGCATATGCAATACAAATGGCAAAGGCTTAGAGAAACACTTTACAATCAAGCAATTCCTACCTACTCTAAATAAAAGGGACAAAAATAAAAATTAGATTAATGACAAATGGCCCCCCATAAATGTTCTGACCTCCTAGACACTAGAGGATTCTCTCCTCAGTATTCCTGTCCAGAGTTATTAGCACTGAGGCCATCATGGCAATACAACCCCTACTAAGCGAGATATCTGTCACTAGCGCCCCTACCCAAAAGTCACTGGGGCCCCTCCTATTTCCTCAGCTTCACTCTCTACCACAGGAGAGCTATGGGCTGCTGCTGGGCTTCTGCCTATGCTGTTGGCTAAGCCTACAATTCTCTCCAGGCCATTTGTAAAAATTCTACTCTTCTCTTGTTCTTGTAGCCTACATATTTGTTACTACATTTAACCAGTGAATGAAAATTAACTACTTACACATCTTTCTCGCCTCCTGGAAGCTCTTGAAGCCAAGACCATTCGTTCTCTCCCTTTGCATCCCCTTCTCTCCTCACACAAATGTTGGCACACAGCCTGTGCTCAGTAATAGTTTGTGGAATTAAGGTAGTTTGTGAGTCTCACACTGCCCATGACCTAACTTGCCACATAATTTGGGAAGCCCGACAAAACTAAAAAGAAACACACTGTGGGTTGGGGGAAGGAGAGAAAGACAGACAGACTACTGTCTCAGACTACTGACATACTGACTTAATCAGACACACATACTATGGCCTGGAGTGCAGTAAGGTCACTCCCAGCCCTACCCTGCTGGAACTTACAGAGGATGTATGGATGGCACCCTTGAGGGACACTGTCCTGCTAAGGTCAGAGTGCTCTAACATAAAATAGCAAATACAAGGTTACCAAGAATATTCCTTGTAGATTATTAAATAAGAAATTCTATTTACTTGATTTTTCACACAGGAAATTTTCTAAGTTCCAGAATAAACTAAAAATGGCAAAGATGAAAAACATACATGCATCCACCTTCTTTACCCTGCTTTTTCAAGCTACTGTACTGCCCACTCAAAAATGGCAACTTCCACCTCCTCTTCCTGCTCAGTGCTCTCTGCCCCTCAATGCCTGCTGACATCAATCTCTAGCCTCTGAGATAGTTTATACACACGACTAAGCCAATTACTACTTTTCATTATTGTCATGTCTAATTCAGGGCTGGGCACAGTGGCTATTAAAAATCCCAGCGACTGGCAGGTAGATAAAAAGCCTTGTTACCTGTCTTTCAGTAATTCAAGAGTTTTAAAAAATTGTCAAAACAATATTTTTCTTTCTTTAACACAACCTAAAATTCTAAAAGGATAAATACTCCAGTAAGTTTAGAAAACTCATGCCAATAATTTTTTAAACCTTTCTGCAACTAGAAGATGCAATTCTCAAATGCACTGCTAACCCCTAATAATTCTCTGCTCATGTGGAGTTGTAACATACCTCTTGGCCAGCCAGAGCTTGGCTTTGGTACAAACAGTGATGTCAGTCAGCTCCTGCTGAAAGTCTGAGTCCATCTTGTGTTTGGAGTCTGCGTAGGCTTGCAGCAAATGAGACACCTAAACCAAAAAAGAGAAAACGCAATATCCTGTTATAAAAATGTACTTTTCCTAAATGCTTAGTTTCTCCTTTTTCGGTTTCCTCAAAATACTCTGCTCAAAGAAAACAGACACCTGCAGGGTGTGGCCTGGTGTGCGCCAAGAAGCATGTTGGTTCTGGAGCGCCCTGCAGTGAGACAGCCTACAGCCAGCACCTGGGCTGAGGTCTGCACACCATCCCAAAGCCGGGCACTGCTCTGCGATCAGTCGCTTGCTCAGGAGCTTAATTGTTAGAAACAACCTACACGTGGGTTTATTTATTTTAGCAATCTCACATGAAAATAAGGCACGCTTTTTCCATTTCTGAAGCATTTGGATGGAACCCCAGGTCTCGTGCATGCGAGACAAGTGCTCTATCACCCAGGCATGCTCCCAACCCTAAGATAAACCAAGGTCTGCCTCTTCAGCTAATGGGCAGGGACGCAGAAGATCTTCCTGTAGAGGTCAACTGTGGGGGTGGCTGTGCAGGTGAGCCTCTCTCTCTTTTTTCATTTATGTATGTGGTACAGGGTCTCACTACTTAGCCTGGACTCATGGTGATCCTCCTGCTTTCAGCCTCCCCAGCGCTGGGATTATAGGGGTATACCACCAGGCCCAGACTCAAGTTGCCAGCCCAGCATGTAGGACTGGGGATCAAACCCTGGTTTCTGTGCTTGCCAAAGCAGGCATTTAGTCCACTGAGCTATCTCACCGGTCCTCATACTCTCACTCTTATGCAGTGTTCTGAACCAGAATTAAATAGGAAAGACAGGCTCTGTGGTCTCTCTAGCAGCCTATACTTAGAATGATGGCCACAGTCCCAGCAGACCAGGTGACATAGGCCATGTGTAAGTGTGTGCACTCAGCAATGACATTCACAAAGCCTCTGCAAGGAGGACGAGTCTGCAACAGACAATGAAAGGGAATAAGGGGTAGCTGAGATTCTCTGACGTTCACTAGTGCCAAGGAGAAAGATGCATGTGAGAGAAATCCCTGAGTTTTGGGGTCCCTTATTTACATCAAGGGGAAAAGTTGGGCGGGCAGAGGAAAGCACGAACAGATAAACACACCAAGACCTTCAATGTCTATTTTCATATTTGCTTTGTTTTTCTCTATTGCATCCTTCCCTGGAGCAGCAGATGACTCTAAGTAAATACATTCATCTTATTCTTCCTTTTCTTGACTGCCAAAGAAGGACTAGATTCACAGTAGTGATGCACTTCACAGTTAAAGGGAATAGTAACAAAAAGCAAGAGGCCAAGATAAAGTAGTCCAGAGGTGTCAGACCCTAAATGGGTGAGCTGGCAGGTTTTCCTGGGTCAGACCTCTGAAACTACTGCCAACAATATATGCTGAGCACTTTCTGTTTAAAGAATCAAAATAAATCTTAATTATTTTACTCTATGTGATTACTATTATTTTGTCTTAAACAGAACTGTACCAGAAAATACACACAATTCCCCATACAGAGGCCAAAAATGCTGTCTCTCATAAAGAATCTGTTACTACAGCATGTCACTCCTTCCCCTCACCCGCTCAGGGACCCAAACCGCCCACTTGGAGTCTAGAGCACTGGGTCTGGCTGGAGCTGCTGCTCTCATGTGGTGACTGCCAGAGGGGAAAACGCTTCCCCAGGCTCAGCCCCCACCATCCCGAGAGCTGGCAGAGTCACTGAGGCTTGCTTTCTTTTCTCCACAGCTGGACCAAACCAACTAGTGGGGCTTTTCATTTTGTCACAGGATCATAATTAATCAGCAGACACAGGCAAAATACTTGACTTTGGAATTTACTTGTAAAGAAAGCCGTGAGACTTTCAAAGTCCTCTCATTTAGAAGTGATCACTTCAAAAATAGCTCCTGATGGATGTTTAAACTTAGCCCTATATTTGCTCACCTTGCTTGGCAAAAACAAGACTGTTTTTGAAACGCTTGGTAGCTCTGGTTTATGAAAACTGGCTTATAGGCCCATCTGCTCTGTCACCCTGGGCACAGACTGGACAATTGGGATCCTGGTTATTTACCAGGAATGAATGGAAAGTGATCTGTTTACACAGGACAACTGGAGAGAGAGAGGTGCATGGAAATAAGCAAGTAGAAAAGAGAAACAATAAATGAAGAACAGGTCAGAGAAGTCAAAGAAAAAAAATGGGGCAGGGAAAGAGGGGAGAGAGGAAGAAGAGAACAAATGTTGCAAGTAAATGCATGAAACAGGTCAGTGTTTTAAAAAATATTTTTCTTTTAGAAAAATTAATAAAAAAAAGAAAAATTAATGAAAATATTTGAATACACAACCATGCTCATATGACATTTAGAGTGTTAGGTTTAAGAAAAATGAGGCCCTCCTTTGGTGTGAGGTCCAGGCCTGAGGCCAAGCTTCTGGAACTAGGATCCGTGGTCAGGCCTCGTGTTCCTAGCAGCTCCTGGGAAGGGTCAGTTGTCCAGCAGCTCTAAAGGCTACCAGAGGGCTAGTGAGATGGCTCAGTGGTGTAAAGCACCTACTTAGAACAAGCTTAGCAAAGCACAGGGACCGCGGTTCAATCCCCCCTGGTGGGCTGAGCTGGCCACAGACAGACAGACAGACAGACAGACAGACAGACAGACAGACACACACACACACACACACACAAATAAATAAAATCAAAATAAAATAAAATAAAGGCTGCCAGAGGCAAGCAAGGCCCTTCTTTACGCTTCTCTGAATTTCTGAGGCACGGTTTCTGGGCTAAGAGCAGGGATGGCGCAGGCCTGCTATAATTTGCAAATAGCCTTTAATACAGAGCTGGTCTGAACCAAGCACAGAGACCCCCAAAGCTGCCAGACCCTAGGGCTGTGGTAGTGAGCGAATGGCAGGCAGAGCCCACTCTGCCCAGTGAGCCAAAGTTTAACAAATTACCGGCATGTATACTACAGGAAAGATCACATTGATGTGCAAAAGCACGCCTAATGCAAACTTTTACCTTCTAATAAAAAACTGTTTGTACCACTGGAAGCTCTGTTATTTTGTTTTTTCTTTTAAGACAAAAGATGCTAATGTATGATTTGTATTTTCTATACTAAAACCTCAGTATTCAGGTTTCTTTGCAGTGTCGGCACTCTGATAAATAAGTGGGTTTGGGGTTGCAGTTTTGGTATTTGGTCTCTAAAAGGTTTATTATCACTGCCCTTGGGGAAGGTGACCGAACACACATGAAAATGCTGAGACGGTGATTGTCATTTTAGTTATTCCAATTTGTTACAGGATTCAAAGATCTAGTCAGCAAATATTTATTTAGCAACTATTATTACCAGGCACTGGGGGCTTACGGCAGAGACCAAACAGTCCCTGCTTTTTTGCAGCCTATAATCTAGTCATGGATAATCTACAGACTCTCTGGTACTGCCTGGTGGAGGTTTATAATCTACACAGCTTTGGGTGCCAGAAATTGAACTCAGAACCTTGCACTTGCCAGGCAGGTGCTGTATGCTGAGCTATTTCCCTGGCCCCAAGGTGCACAGCTGCCTCATTAGTACTTTCCTTTCTATGCTTGACTTCACGTTCCAATAGTCTGGTGCATAGAAAGAACTCAACAAGTACTTGCCACATGAACTGATGCTGCTATCTGGTGAGTCTGTATTAACTCCTTCGAGACGCAGCCCCTTGGATGCAGCGGCCTGCTGCAGGCACCAGCTTCTGTGTCTGGAATGGCAGCACAGTGTTGTAGAATGCAGTGCTCTTAACTCTAGTGAACTCAGTCTGCTGGGGGGACAGCGAGGCTAGGTGAGTGGTGAGAATCCAGCCACGTGGGACAGGGTAGAAATCCACAGGCTTTGGAGCTGGGCACACACAGGTGTGAACCAACCACTAGTAGTGAGCCTCTGAACAACTGACTTCATCCATAAATGAAGTAGTCAGTGGCCCGCTCCTTATCTGAAGGAGATGCATTCCAAGCCCCCCAGTGGATGGTTGAGATCCCAGGCATATTTTTTTTTTTTTTTTTTGCTCTAAATGCCCTAAGGGGTGGTTTGGCTGGCTGGTGTGTTGTGGGGATCGAACTACAGCAACCTGAGGCTGACAGCTTTGTGGAAGCAGCCAATCCCAGGCATATTGAACCCCACATATCATACACTTTTTCCTACAGACACACACCTATGACAAAGTTTAATTTATAAATTACTCACAATAAGATATTAAGGACAGTTACTAAAAATAGAAAATAATGATACACTCTAAGAAAAGTTATTTAAAATTTATAAATTATTTATTGCTCAAATTTGCCATTTAGCATTTTTGGACTGCAGTTGATTGCAGCTAACCAAAATTACAGAAAGAAAAATTGTGGATGGGGGACTACTATAATAATATCTACCTTGTGTGACTGTAGAGAGTCAGGAGAATATAAACACTACTTCACAATGCACTAAGAACCTGATGAAGTCAGTTCTCTTCTTTACTCCTTCCCTTCTAGTTCCATTCTAAAAATAAACACAGAAGGCTTTGCAGAAAGATTATGCGTATTTGGCCTTGAAAAAAAATCTTACCAGGATCAAGGAAAGAATATGCAAGCAAGGAAAACCAAAATTGAAAAATATTTTAAAGGGTATTTAATACCCTTTTGTTATATGACCAACAAAAAGTAAAACAATATAAACTGTGAACTGCAGTTAACAGTAATGTTCATACTGGCTTGTGAACCACAGCAAAGCACTCCCCTGGTGACGATATTAATAGTAGGAGAAAACTAGAGGAGAGGGCAGAGAGGACAGGAACTGCCTGTATCAACAACTCAAATTTTCTATAACTCTAAAATTGTTCTTAAAAATTAAGACTGTTCTACTAATTAATTAAAAAGTGTTGGAGGGCCAGCCAAATGGCTCAGCAGATTAAAGAGCCTGTAATCAGGCACAGGGGTCGGGGGGTTTGATCCTTAAGCCTGCTTTGCTGGCCCCGCCTCCGGGGCATGCTGAGACAGCAGTTGAGCCTGGGCATGATGGCCCAGTAACCCC